CAGACGCTTGTTTGCTTCATTCCTTCACTTTAAAATTACTTTTATTTGACTTTCTGCCCAATTAGAAGTAACTCAAAGGGAGAGACTGTATCTACCTCATTTGCCATTTTATTCCCAGGAGCTAGCACATAGTAGGTCTCAGTACATATTTGTTGAATCAATAAATGACCCACAACAAAGTTGGAGGAAAGATTTGTACCACAATATGCAGAGCTCCTTCAAATCAATAAGAAAAAGACAACATCCCAATTAGAAAAAAATGGTTGAGGTTAGAAACAGGCAATTGACAGAATAAGAAATGTAAATATGGTGAATGCATTTACTATGTCAGGTTATTCATGCACAATATGTATAATCTTCACAACAACCCTGCAAAATGAACATAAAGAAATAGGCTTAATGAAGTTAAATAACTTCTTTAACTTAAATAACTTATTTGGCCCAGGGCAATCAGTTTCTAATGATAGAGCCTCGATTTGAATCCAGGTATTGTCACCAAAACTAGTCCTTTCCATTGACTCTTGCTATTGAGTCTCACCTAGGCTTAATTTCCTCTCAAGAAAAAGAATCAAGATGTCCTAAACATAAAGGGAAAGCAACAGTCCAATAGAAAAATAGACAAAAGATCTGAATAGCTCATAGAAAAAGAAATGCAAGTTGCTCTTAAAGATATGAAATGCTCAAACTCGCCTATATTAAGAGAAATGAAAATTAAACCACCCTGAGACACCACTTCTCATCTATCAGATAGGTAAAAATACAAAAACTCAACAATGTATTTATTCAGAAGGTTATGAGGAAAAGAATATTTTCATATGTTACCAGTGGGAATGCAAAATGTGTAAGTCCAATGCAGTGAAATTTGGCAGTATTTGGTAAAATTACAGGTGCGTTTTTCTCTTGACCCAGTACTCTCACCACTAGGAATCTAACCCAAAGATACAATGGCAATAAAAGGATGTAAGCCCAAGTCTGTTCATCGCAGGGTTTTTTATAATGGAAAAAGAACGAAACAACTCAGATGTCTGTCAGTAGGAGACTGGTTGAATAAACTATGCTTCATCTACATGATGGACAACTATACAGATGAATGAAAAATACGAAAGCTCTCTAGACACTGTTCTGGAATGATCTCCAGGATATATGCT